TTTAGCCTGCTTCTACACTGGTCCCCTTTCCTTTGCTCAGATCAACCATCATTTTCTATATCTTAAAAACAAAGTAAAACAACCAAACAATTAAATCTTTCCTCAGTTCTGCCAGCTTTTCAGTTTGCTATAGTTATCTTTCCTTGATTTTCCAGCTATGTACTCTTTCATCATTTGCAGTCTGGCTCTTGCCATTTTAGTAAACCTCTTTCATGAAGATTAGCAATGAATTCCACATACATTGCTATATTTCTTAAACATTCGTGTAACATTTGACACTCTACTCTTGACCTTCTTGAAACTCCTATTCCATGACCCTGGTAAGACAGATATGTTGCCTTTCCTGCTCCCCTTAGTCCTGTATCTCTTACCCTTTACTGGTTCTTCTTTCTCTTCCTGTCTCTTAAAACAGTGGTACCCCTAAGATTGTTATTGAGTCCTTTGGTTAATCTGCATTCTCAGGGAGTGATTATTTAGCCATTTGCTAAATTCTTGATACATAGTCACATTCCTCAGTTACAGAAACCTATCAGAAAATGAAATATGATTAGTTTTGGTATGACTTCTGTTATGGAGCCTAACCTAGCTCCTAATGAACACTTCTTTCTTTAATGTGTGTTCAAAGGGGATATTTAAAGCAACATAAGTAATTCCCCAAAACATTTCCATTTATGTGTTAAGTAAGGGTCAACTCTAGTAATACTGATAGTTTAAGAACATGGCTTTTATGGTAAACTCCAGCTACCAATTTATTTTTGTAGTAAAAATAGGTTGGTGTTCTATCTTTTCAGTGTTTCTAATTTGCTTCCTTTTAAATATCAGGTTTCTTTCTCAGTCAAATATGAAATGAATCAAGAGGAGGCACAAGTCCGGACAGATGTGAGTTTAACTTGTTAAATATTTACAGTATATTTTTTAGTTAAAAAAATGATTTTACATGTATAGGAAAGTTGTCAAAATAGTTTTGCCTAATGTGCTTCACCCAGCCTCCCCCGATGGTAATGTCTTATGTAACCATAGTACAGTGATCATAATCAGTAAATTAATATTGATGTGCTATTACTATCTATGCACTCCTTGAATTTCACAAGTTTTTTCACTATCCCTTTTCCTATTTCAGGACCCAATCCAGGGTCACATGTTGCTTTTTGCAGTCACGTCTCCTTAGTCTCCTCTAAGCTGGGATGGTTCCTCAGTCTGTCTTTGTCTTTCATGACCCCAACACTTTGGAAGAGTACTGGTCAGTTTTTTTTTACCCTTAGTTGGGTTTGTCTCATATTTTCCCATGTAGTCTGACACACACAGATAAGACGTTGTGCCTTTCTCAGTGCATCCCATCAGAAAGTACCTGGTGGCGGTGTGTTTTATTGCTGGTGATGCTCACTTGGATCATATGGCTTGAGGGTATCTGCAAAGTTCTCCACTGTATTTTCCCATTTATATTTAATTAAGTATCTTACAGGGCGATACTTTGAGATGTTGCAAATATTCTGCTTCTTATTATCCATTTGCTCTAATTTTGGTGTCATTTGATGACTCCTGCCTGTAGAAAGTATATTACTGTGATATCTGTATTAGATGATGGTGATTTTTTTATTACTGTCATTTCTTCTTTATTAATTTCAATTCTCCTGTAAGGGGAAGCTATCCCTTTGCCCACATTGATTTATTTATTCAATTATTTATTTAAACCTGTATTGACTCTTGAATATTTATTTTATTCTAGTGATTATAATGCACTAGTATTTTCTTAGTCAAATTGTCCTAGATTTGGCCAATGGGAGTTCCTTCAACTTGGCTCCCGTGCCCTTTTTTAAAAAATTTTTATTATTTTTTTTTTTCTTAAAGTATCATTGATAAACAATCTTATATTGGTTTCAAATGTACATCACAGTGGTTCAACAGTCCCCATAATCAACTTATATAGTGATCACAAACTATTGTGCCCTTTTATCCCCCCTGCCCACCATCACCCCACCCCTCCCCCTTAGTAGCCCATAGTTCTTTCTCAGTGTCTGTGAGTCTTCTGCTGTTTTCCTTGTTTTGCTTTGTTTTTATATTCCACAAATAAGTGAAATCATATTCTCCCGTGCCCTTTCAACACATACTCCATCATTTTTTTGAGCACTTCCTTACTCTGTATTTACATAGTTTTGAACATTGTTGAGGGAAATTAGATAAATTCCAATATTTTTTTTTTTAGATCGCTTTGGGTGTATTGGGTGGGCTAGCTGTTTTATCATCTCTTCTGAAGACAGCAGGGTGGAAGAGGCGCATTGGGAGTCCCATGATTGATTTACAGGTATGATCTCAGGAGTTTTTAAAGTATATTTTTATCTTTGGACTATACTGTATCCTTCTCACAAGACACAGCTAGAGGACGAGTGAAAAGTTGCCTGAGTTTCTCTGGAGTATATAATGAGGAGAGGGGTTTGCACCCCTCCGCGCCCTCCTGCGTCACTGTGTGCCGGTCTGCATTCCCACCGCAGTGCTGCTCTGGTTTCAGCACTTGATATTTTTTCAGCCTTTCCATGTTTTGCCAGTTTGGTAGGATAGGTAGTATGTCATTGTTGGTTCAATTTTCATGTCGCTGATTTCATACAGTTTATTAATCATGTGTGTTTCCCCTTCTGTTAACTATCTGTTTATGTCCCTTGCCCATTTTTTCAATTAGGTTTCAAGTTTTTCTTACTTATTTAAGGACTTCTTTGTATTTTCTAAATATAAATCCCCTTTTGGTTTTTAATGTTGAAATTTCTCTTCCAGATGTGACCCATCTGTTATTTTTATCTGTGTGTTCCTTTCTTTAACAGAAACTCTTGATTTTGATACTGTCAAATCTGAGTAGTTTCTCCTGTTTCGGAATGTGTTTTTAGGATATTGTTTAGGAAAACCTTCCCTTTCTGAAGATCAGAAAGATATTTTCCCACATTTTCTTACAGTAGCTTTATGGCTTTAATTCTTCTCATTTAATCATTTTTATATTTATCTTTGTTTTTATTTTTATCTAAAATTGAATATTTACTATGAGCCAGGTACTTTTTAAAGCCTTACTTGGGTAATTCATTACAATAGCTGTATGAAGTTAGGTATTATTATTATCATTCTCATTTTACACATGATGAAATTGTGGAAGAGTTTAAATAAATTTTCAACTCCTTTAATTTTTACAATTCAGTAATAGGTGGTATTACCATGTTGTTGATGAAGAACATGAGAAAGGCAACCTAGTAGCCTTTTTGTTCTGGGTATCTTCCTGACTCCAGAGCCAATGTCCTGAAGAATCAGAGTGGTGACTGATTTCCTGTTTGGGATAGTCAAGAAAGGCTTCCCAGAGAAGTGAACATTAGACTGGGCTGGGCTATCTGTGCAGTCCCCGGATAGTCACTGAGGACCTGCTTGATGAGTGCCGTTCACACCACCAGACGCTAGGGCATGTGGTAGTGAGCAAAGACAGGCATGGGCTCTGAGTTCATAAGAGTTGGCCACAGAGAAGGAAAGAATATTTGATGAAACTATGCCCATTTCACTTCACAAAATAACTTAGATGAAGTGTTGGAATGGTTAGTCATTGAGTGAGTAGTTAGAACTGGCAGGTGAGACTAAAAAGGCCATTTTGGTCTAGGTGGTGAAGGGTATTGAGCTTGTGAGTCAGAACTTTACACTTTAGTGAGGAGACACTATATTTTTAAGAGGGGATGTGACACAATCCAATTTATATTTTAGAAAGCTAACTCTGGTGACAGTGTGGAGGATTGATTGGCGTGAAAATTTCCAAACTAGGAGAAAATGATGAAGCAGTCTAACTTTCTTAGATGGTGAAGGTCAGAAGGGTTGACTAAGGCAGTGCTAATGGGAATGGACTGAAAGGTAAAGATCCCAAAGTATCCAGGAGGTAGCTGCGGTTGGTCTTAAGAACTGAGTGATCCATGGACACATGAAAAAAGGCTTGAAGCTTGAGAAACTGGGTAGATAATATGTTATTAAAAGTGGTAGTATAAATTGAGTCTGTAACAACTGTAATTCTCTTTTTAAATTGCAGACAGTTATGAAATTCTTGGTATACTATGCTGGTGATCTAGCCAATGTTTTCTTTATCATCACTGTGGGAACAGGTCTTTATTGGCTAATTTTCTTCAAAGTAAGTGAGTTTCTGAATTTAACCTAAATGCCAATGCCTGAATAACTGGTAAGCTCCCTTTATAAAGAAACTATTTTTATTTGGGAGCATTGCTGATCAAGAGTTTTGAGGCAAGTGCCAAACTTACCATTCCCTGAATATAGTGCTTATTGTGTATCACCACCTCCCTCTCTTATACTGTCTTTAGTTTATAAGTTGTGCTTAGTAAAAGACTTGCATGGTCATACTTAATGGTGTAATTTTATCATAGGCACAGAAGTTGGCTTTTGTTTTGCTGCCAGGGCCGGCTCAGGAAGAGCGTCTCGTTACTTACGTGGGATGCGCTTTTGCTCTAAAGGTGAATTTCCAAAGACAGGTTACTGAATTGAAAAGACCTGCTAAAAACACATTGGTCTTTAAAATTAAAATGTTTTTGAAGTCTTTGGTATAAAATTTAGTTTGATTTTGAAAGCACAGATTATTCTATTTTAAAACAGCTCGTTCTGAAAATCTGCCTTAAATACTTTTTCTAGGAAACCATAAATGTGTTTAGAGTAACATGAGTTACAGCTAATTGATAAAATATTTCATTTGTGACTTTGTTCGCTAAAGTCTGATAATGCATTTACAATGGGACAAAATGCCTTCAGGCATGAATTTTGTCTCTGTTGAGAGTTAAAGGTACCACCTTTGATAAAGTGCCAAAATCGTAGAATTTATTTTCCCTGTCTCCATATTCTTTTCATCCTCTTCCCATGGCAACCTCCCTCCACACCTCAATGTTCTGTCAATCTATGTGAAGCTTTTTACATGTCTCTTTGGTAGATATCATCCCATTGTAATATGATTATTGAGTGCCCCATTGATTTGAGAACCCTTTGAAGAGAGGAATCATCGTATACACTCTCCATGTTGTTTGATGAGCTTCTGGTGATCCCTGAATGGTACTATAAATTCATTTGTCACTTGTGAAAATGGTACTGTGACTTCATTTGTCACTTGTGAAAATTGTAGTATGTTTCTTTAAAAACTCAGTGTTGGTTTCATGAGCAGGCTTAATGCAGGTACTTTTCAGGTGGTCTGTTTGTCATTCTCAGGCTCTGCAATTTATGCATAAGCTCATATCCCAGATTACCATAGATATATTCTTTATTGACTGGGAGCGGCCTAAAAGAAGTGTTATTAAAGCTGCTGAAGGTAACTGAAATAACCGTTTGCACCAAAATTTTATTGCTACCCTTGCAGAGCAAAGAAAGTGAAACCCTTTTACTCATCTTTTCTCCCTGACCAGGTGAGGGCAGTGTTCGGAGTGCTGCTGTTCCTGTAAGCATATGGAGAACATATTTTGTAGCAAATGAATGGAATGAAATTCAGACTGTGAGAAAAATTAACCCACTCTTTCAAGTACTTACTGTCCTCTTCTTTTTGGAGGTATAAACTCATGTGTGCAATTTATGGGGGCCTCATTAATATTAATTTCATATAATTTCAGCTAAATTTTCATCTCAGTGGATGAGTTTTCTACAGGTTAAAATAGTTATCAAGCCATTAAAAAGAGGGGCTTTTTAAAAATTGTGGCAAAATAAGCATAACATAAAACTATCCTCTTAACCATTATTAAGTGTACAGTTCAGTTAAGTACATTCACACTGTTGTGCAACCAATCTCTAGAACTCTTCTCATATTGCAAAACTGAAACCATACCTATGCCTGGTGTCACCTCTGGAGATTATGTTTGATTCAGTAGCTCTGAGGTGAGCCCGGCTATCTATATTGTGCAAAAGCCACCTCCCTGCATGACTCACATTCTCATACCTACATTAGAATCACTATTATAAGGGTGAAATTTTCCAACAAATTATCATTGAACCCCTACTGTGGACTGTGTTATTTGCAAAGAGCTGGGCTAAGCAGTAAATACATAGTGAATCGGTACATGGTCATGATTCCTTTATAATTATTTTGTGGATCTAGTTGGAATTGTTAAAAGAAGTATTCAGTACTGAATATGAGACTGAAATATGTAAGCCATTTATATGGATAATAGGGATTTTCAGGAATTAGCTGCTTAAATAAGATTAGATATGATTTATTACCTCATGTCTGTCAGCTTTTTTCTCTTTTTCCTCTTTTCTTGTTTTCTCCCTTTTTCCTCTTCCTTTCCTTTTTTAAAGCTAGAAGAATATGTGTATCCCTAGAGCACATGAACAATATTTCAAAAATTCATTGTACTAGTGTTTTTTAGGAGTGTTTCATAGAGCTTTAAAAGCTCTATACATGAAAAAGAAGTGTTATATAGTCAAGTAAGTTTGGAAAACACTGGATTCAATAAAGTCATATTGATTCCTTTACCATAAATCTTCCCAGAGCCTTTATTCTTTGAGGGTAAATGCATGGAGGTAAGTATAAAATTCATGGCTAACCATTTTCATCAAATAAGGTATCTTCCTCAAAAGATGTTTTGGGAAATAGTGTTTAAGAGTATAAAAAGTATTTCACATACCTTCTGACATATGTTAAAAACTCATGAAATGCTGGTTGTTCATTGGTAGTTTACTGAAGGAAGTTTTATTCTTTTAACAGAAATTTTGAGCTTTGTCAGTATATATGATGTCAGTGTCAGTGTAATAATATGATTATATTTGGCTTTTGGAAATATTGAAAATAATATCAAATGAACTAAATAAATACTTTATATTAAATACTTTGTAATTAAAAATACTGGACAATTTACATTTTCTGTTTGTGCAAACTTGAATTTGTTTTTAAGGTAAGGGGTAAAGAAGAATGTCTGATTTTCAGATCAGAGAAGATTTCTTCATCAATGTCTACTTAAATTGTTATTTTTCCTCTTTACTCCAGGTTGTGGGATTCAAGAACTTAGCATTGATGGACTTATCCTCTAGTCTTTCCAGAAGCCCCGCTAGCTACATAGCTCCTTACAGCCTCATTTTGAGATATGCAGTATCTACTGTTCTTTGGCTAGTCATTGGAATTATACAGGTAATAAGAGATCATGCTTTTAAGCAACAGTGCCTCTGTTTATATACTGATTATCCTCAAATGCTGACTACATCCTGGTCTCTATGAAAGAAAAGTGGTAACAACAATAATAGCTAATAGCTTATTCTTACATAATGTTATAATCCAAGCACTGTATTAATTAATTGCATTATTATATATTAATTTATTTAATCTGAGTAGCCCTCAGAGATAGGTTCTATTGGTACTCTCATCTTACAGATAACATTGAGGTGCAAAAAGTTTAAGTAGTTTCTTAAAGTCATGTAACTAGAGATTGGCAGAACTGGAATTTGAACCCAGGCAATCTGATTTCAGATTCATATTCATATCAATAGAGGGGCTCTGAGGGTTTTTCAGAGTCTGCACTTTCAAGTCATAGGCTAGACTTTCTTTAGTTTATATTTAACTACAAGGATGGCTAAGCTGCCCTTAATATTTTCTTTTAATTTTGAAGTATAACTTACTGTTTACATTTATTTAAATATCATTAAATCCCACCCAAAATGACAGAACCTCTTGTGAAGTTTTCTTTAAAATATTTATTCAAATAACTGAACCTGAAAATAAATCTTCTCAGCCTCATGTCATATGGGTCTAGCAGAGGATCTTTTCTATGCTTACGTCCCTTCTTAAAACTTAAAAAAAAAAAAAAGAATGAGAGGGAGTAAAGAAAGAAGCAGCTAAAGCACTTAACTCTAATGTCTGCACTTCTTTCTCTTGCTTCCAGATACTTCCGTGCATGGAAAGAGAGTTTGTTGGTTAAAAATTCCTTTAACTTTGAAGTCAGCAAATAAAAATGGGACCTGTAGAAAGACTGGGGTCAAGTGTTTCAAAATCTTTCCATTTCAATATTCATATGAACACATTATCTGTAATTGAAATAGAATACTGATACATGCATATTCTATAACCCAGTGAAAAAATATTTGCCTAAAAAAGCCAATTTTTAAAGATCTTTTGGGATTGAAATTCCAAAATTCCTATAGAATTGGATCTAGGTGGCATTCTATGACCTGAGAATAGACTTTTTAAATTTATAGTTATTTTAAATTGGTGAGACTTGTTTAAATTTGACACTATAGGAATAGAGCTAATGAGGGATAGTTTGATAATCAGAAAAGAAAGACAAACAAATCAGAATTTGAAATAAGATTAGGATCAAAAGAGTATTGCTTTTGGTGTTTATCATCAATAAAATAGTAAGAAAGTATTTTATTTTGTACATAATACCAGTATTATGTTTTCTGAATAGATGAGATTCATCTGGATGTAGAAATTTAAAGGAACACCTTCTAAAGCTTTTCATATTTGGTTGAGTACAACAACAAAAGAAAATTGCAGTGGCTGAAATAAATGATCTTTAGTTCTCCCATGAGAAAGAAAAGCAGAGGTCAGCAGTGCAGAGTGGCTCTGTGCTGCTGTCAGGACCCAGAAGCCTTGTTCTGCTCTGCCGCTCAGCAAGCACTTCCAGCTCTAAGGTTACCTCATGGTCCTTAATGGCTGATAGGGTTGTAGGAGGAAGACAGTGGAGCAGAGCTCACCCTCTTCTCTGTAAAAGTCTTCTCAGAAGTCTCTACAACATCTCCTTAGCCAGGACTTGATCATATGGCCACATCTTGCTGCACCAGCATCTTTCACCTGGACAGCAGTGTGCCTACTGCAAGGAGGCTGTGTCACTGAGGAGTAAGGGGAAGAGATCCCTGGGGCAGAGACAAGGGTCTCAGGCACCACATCTAACCTTATGCTTTGTTCTCACTGCTGTCATTCTGATAGGAATATTTCTCTCCATGGTAACATTCTAAGGTTTTCAGTATTTATATCCTTAAGTGTTCCTGTAGCAACCTGCTCCATAAATTTGTCTATAAAGATTCTTTTTGATTCTCATAATGCTAGACTTTTATTTCCCCAAACCTTCAACTTTTAAGGGCATCCTTTAATTTTTAAACTTTGAAAGTTGCTGTTTTTCATCTCCTTTAAAGTTGTTTAAAACAATGTGTATATAGAATGTAGTACATTGTTTTTAGTAATCAGCTGCTGTAATTCATTAGTTTATTCATTCACATATCTGGGTACATTTCATGTACTAGGCACTGTGCTGAAGTCAGGGATGTGCTATAACAAGAACAAGTTACAAATTGTGACTGGGGATGTGAAGGGAATAAGCAGGGAGATGAGAGCAAATAAATGGAGGGAAGGGGAGGGGAAGTTAAGAATGGGGGACAACAGGGACAGCTTTAAACTGAGTGGTTAGGAAATGTTATCTTTCTCTGAAATACATCTAAGAAAGTCTACAAAGTAAACTTCTCTTTTGATATGTAAAATTTTCCTTTCTAGTTTTGTGACATATAAGAAAACAACTGAAACCATTACATTTGAGTATTTAACACATTATCTGTAGTTGAAATAGAAGACTTGATACGTGTTTTTCTTATGCTACTCTGTCAGGTTAATTTGAAAAGCAGCAACATCTTTTTAATTGAAGTATACTAGATAAAGGCTTATAGTGGTTTCAAGTATACAACACAATGGACCAACGGTTACCCATATTTTTAAATCCTCATCCCCACTAGTCAATTACTATCTGTCAACATAGGAAGACATTAAAGAATCACTGGCTATATTTTCCATGCTGAACTACCATCCCCATGACCAACTTATATTATGATTGAGCATTTTTGGAAAAACAGCAGCTTGCCTAATGGCTTTGGAATTTAGGAGATGGACAGAACTTCAGAACCAGACACAAATCTGACCATTAACAAACACATTGTTTTATCCTAAATTTTTTTAAGCCCCTGTCTTCCCCCATGTTTTTCCTACCTTGTTTAATGACACAAAATTTTTAAAAATTTAAAATAGGCTCCCTTGATGAATATTAACAGAATTCTAAAACCTTCTTTTGACAGAAGAATCAGAAATCGTAAGTAGGATTTTATCCCACAGGAATCATTAGAGGCCAATGTGTTCTTGGTTGGAACTTCTTTGTTCTTATGATACCATACTGTGACTATAAAAGAAAATTAAAAACTAAAAGCTAATAAATATGAACTTGGCTTAATGTTTCAGATTGTGTTCTTTGCTGTCTTTTATGAGAGATTTATAGAAGATAAAATTCGACAGTTTGTTGATTTATGCTGTATGAGCAATGTAAGTACTTTCTGACTTTATCTTAGAACTGTTACTTTTCCCTTTTTTAAAGGTCATGAGTATATTAAGAGAGGCCTTAAAAGTGATTTGATATGACTGGATTTCTAGTCTAGTTCTCCACTGGTTGTTAATTCCAGGGATATTATAATGAGCTACAAGTTAATTTTTACTGCCTTAATTTCTTTTTCCTTATTTACAGTTTCTTAATTATGAATTCCTTATGCTACTGGATACTTTACTGAGCACAGAATCCCTGAAAACTTTTCATTTATCAAACCTATTTCTTCCTTTCTTGGATAATACCTTCAATCTCTTTTCCATCTACATTTTTAAAATAACCTCATTATCCTTTATTACCTTATTATCCTCTTTATATATTTTCCAAGAATTCAACCCTCATTATTTGGAGATAAAGGGATCAGTTTTAAAGAAAACTTAATTCTGATTGTTTTGTGATAAGTTGCTAATTGTTCCTTTTTCTTCTCTCTTTCTAGATATCAGTGTTTCTATTATCCCACAAATGTTTTGGCTATTACATTCATGGTAGATCAGTACATGGGCATGCGGATACTAATATGGAAGAGATGAATATGAATCTTAAAAGAGAAGCGGTATGAATATTTTACATCTCTTATTTTCTAAGTTGAGAGGTGGGTTCTCTTAATCTAGGATTCATAATATTTAAGAAAATCTTGTTGCTCTGTTTTGAAAGTTGCTAGGGTACCAACTCATTACCAGAAGTACTGATAAAGGGAAAGAATCAAATTTAATCCTGCAGTTCCTAAATGAACTATTTCAGAGTAACCAGATAATTTCATGAGGGACAGTCCTTCCTTATAGAAAAAAGTAAAAGGACTTCTAAGTTAGGAACCACCATTTTATAATGACTAATCGGTTAATACACACAGATTGCAGTCATCAATGGATGCTTAGATTATTAAGTGAAGGTTAATTGGAAAATTTATAATGAGGAATGAGGTTGACATAATCTGAACACTGGCTCAATCTTACCACAAGAAAAATTTGGACAACTGACATTCACTTCCTGTTATGATACAGTAGGAATTATACAACATTGCCCGTGAAATATTCTTGCCTGAGAAAATTGAACCTGAATGTAATCAAGCCTCTAGCTCTAAAGCCACAAATTTACAGGACATAGAGGGGACAGAGGGACAAATAAAGTAATACCATAGGAAGCAAGTAGCCAAAACTAGAATATAGGCTGTCTCATGGGACAAATGATCATGTCTACAACAAATCAAAGGCATCAAAAGAAAAGGAGGGGTGGGAGTGGGGATGGGAGAAGAACTGTTAAATAGTAAGAGAGATTTAAGAAACAAAGCAATAAAATAAAATGTGTAGACTTTGGATCTTGATTCAAACAAACCACCTATAAAAAAATCTTTAGGAAAAATCTGGGAGACTTAATAGACTATTAAATTATATTAGGAATGATTATTTTTTAGGTGTGAAAAAGGCATGGTGCTGTTTTTTCAGACCTTATTAGTTAAGAGATACAGAAGTATTTACAGATGAAATGACATGATATCTAAGGTTTACTTTTAAGGAAAAAAAAGTTGGGAGGATAGATGAAACAAAATTGGTAAAATGTTGGAAATTATTAATGTTGGATGATGGATGGTTTACTGTTCTCTTTACTATGTACATTAGAAAGTTTTCGTAATAAATTTTAAAAAGAAAAGTGAATCCTTAAGAGGAAAAATCAAGGGGTATTATTGACTAAGGAACTATACCTTTGACTTGCAAGAATTTAATACATGGTAATGGCATCTCAGAGATGCCGTTGAACTGGATCAGTTGGTTAACTATTAGAAATTACATCTGGGTTGAAAAGTTAAATATAAAAAAATGAAACTATGAAAACCTAGAAAATATTTCAGATTGAGAGAGACATTGTAAGCATAAAGAATAGAAAACATCAAAGAGGGAATATCCATTGATTTTACTTTATTAATGCAGAACATTTACAACAATCATATAAGTAAAGGACATAGCAAATTAAGGTAAAATTCTCATAGTAAATAGAACAAAGGTATTGATAACAATATTGAAAGTCATGCAAATCAGTCAGTAGGCAAACACTGAGTTAAAACCTCAGTGGAAAAATGACAAAAAGATTTTTAAAAATACATAAATAAGAAACAGAAGAGACTAATAAACCTCTAAAAAATGTTCAGCTCATATATAATCAAATAAATGAATGTAAGAATAACACTTTTGCCCTTTTCAAATTAGCAAACTCTTTTTCAAAAGCTAACACTAGCAGCAAGGACTGGTGAAATGGGCACTCATAAAGCTACTACTCTCAGGATGAATATTTATAAACTTTCTGGAAGGCATTTGGCAGTATATACCAAGAGCTTTTTAAGAGTTCATTATCTTTGACTCACTATTTCTATGCCCCTAACTCAAGGAAATAGTTAGCAATGTGCATAGCTAGTTAGGTTTAGGATCTTTATCCCAGGGGTTACTTAAAAAAGCAAAAACATACATAAAAATTAGAATATTAAATCAATTGGTTTATCTATATAGTGAAGTCTTAGGTAGACATTAAAAATCATGTTTTATAGAGTATTTAAGAACATGGAGACTGACTTAGGATATAATATTAAGTGAAAAAAAAATTGGTCTATATCCCAGTTTTATGCTGTCTATATGTATATGCCTAGACCTTTAAAGGACTGGAAATGAAACCATAGAATACTTCTATCTTTGAGTGTTGAGATCATAGCTGATTTGTTTTCTTTTCTTTTTTTACCTCTCCATATTTTATAAATTCTCTGCAATAACAATGTGCTTTTCCAATCAGGAAAAAGAAAACACATTCTTTTAACAATAGAGAAGTTCACTACATGTAGATTTCATAGTAAGCTGTAGAAAACCAAGTGTTATATTTGCAGATTAACTTTAGACAAAGGAGCAGACTATTAAACTCTGAGGTAGGCAAATAAAGGCAAGAGAAGGGAGGTAAGAGGACTTCAGCCGACCTTGAAACATCAATAGGAAATGGCCAGTTGGTGTAGGTAGGACAAAACTTCATGTTTCATCCTTGTCAGGCTGCATGTAGTGTCAAGGAGACCTGAAGTGAATGTTTGGTCCATGACATCAACTGTCCGTCATGTATTCAGTCACATATTACTGCCTTTTTATTGCAGTTAACTAAGAAAGTTTAAAAAAGTATTTAGATAACAAAAAAGCACTATTTACAGTTTTAAAAACAGTTATTTCTAAAACAACTCTTTGGCATGTGTTAAAGATCAATCAGTAAACTTAATCATAAAGAAAGCTAAGAATACCAGTATACAGTGAACTTAGTATGGATTTTTTTTTAGTTGGGAATAGTAAAAGAGACGATATAGAAATCTGCAAGGAAGTACGACAAAAGAGAAATTAGTAAAACATAAAGCAGTGTGGGAACCTTGGATAATATTAGATGTTCTTTGTCTCAAATGTAGTTTCAATAAAATTTCAATTGACTTACAGATCTTGTAAGAGATGAAACCAACTAAAAGAAAAACATTGTATATTCTTTTTGAGATAGGCAAATTTTCATGATCTTAATTTAAATCCTTTAACTTTTCAGGAGAATTTGTGTAGCCAGAGAGGTTTGGTACCCAACACAGATGGCCAAACTTTTCAAATTGCAGTTTCTAGCCAGATGAGACAACACTATGACAGAATCCATGAGACACTTACAAGGGTTTGTATGAAGTACAGTTGTATGAAGTTCAGGTATATTTCACCATTTCATGTTACTGAAAAAAAAAAGAATGGAAGCCATATTACATTTATTCTTGTCTCTTTTTCACATTAGAAAAATGGCCCTACCTTGAGTTCATCAGCAAGTACTTTTGAGCAGAGTATAAAAGCATATCATACTATGAATAAATTCCTTGGCTCTTTCATTGATCATGTATGTATGTCAGCATTTATATGACTAGAATCAAAATGCAATTTTTAAAAAATTAACCAGGAATATCAATTATTTCTTCAGTCAACTGAGTCAGTGAATTTAGAACCCTTCTTCTTTTGGGTGTCAGAGTTAATACCATGGTTATGTAAAAGAGTTAAGTTATGTAAAAGTAAGATGAGATCCTATGTCTATCGGTGTAGTGACAATTTGTTTAAAGTATATTCATACTGGAATTTTCTTAGCCAGTTACTAAAAAGTTACTGTTTCATTACAGAACTATGTTATGCCATGATAGTATTTCTGAAAAGCTTATAAGTTGATTTTTAGTACATGTGGTTCTAAATACCACTGAAGACATTTGTAATTTAAAACATTCCTAAAGAGAATTTTGTGATAAAGCCCAGCATGGCAAAATCAGTCTTTTTGAAGAACATATTTTCTTTGTGTACTATTTATTTTTCATTTTCTTTCCTCCTGATTTTACATTAATTGAGAAACATTTATTTCACTGCTATTTTTGAAATGAATCTGTCTTTTTATATTAGGTGCATAAAGAAATGGACTACATTATAAAAGATAAATTACTTCTTGAAAGAATTCTTGGAATGGAATTCATGGAACCGATGGAAAAAAGCATCTTTTACAATGGTATCCTTCAAATGCCTTTGCTAAACTTGATTACTATTTTCAAAGTATGATATAAAGTGCTTATAGTTATTACTTCCCTTTTAATTTTATAATTTTACATATAAACAAAGGAAACAATGAACTTAGGTAACTTCATGGAATTATAGTCATTTTCTGTATTTAGTTTTATTATGTCATGTAGCAGGGAACAAAAATATAAAAGATAGTTATTCTGTAAGAATGCAAAAAAGCTTAATTTCAAAATCAGTGGTATACAAAGAAGAGATAGTAAAATACATACATAAAATTTAGATTTTATTAGAATGTTCATTCAGTGGCGCACCTATGGAACAATTAAAGGAAATAACATTAGTGATTAATCCAACCATTTAAATTAACATTTAATTTTTCATTTTATCCAAATTCTTAAAAATTGCAGATATCTATGACAGAAGTCATGATTAAACTTGGTTTCTTATCAATATGAAGATAGATGTATGTAACTTTTAATGTGACAGATAACCTCTTACATGGGTTGATAAGAATGGAAATGGCATAACCAGTGTCCTGGCCTAGATAACACTAACCCATGCATATGTGTGCCAATCCTGGGATACACAGACCAATGGTCATTCCTTGGGCATCCTGTTTAGTAGACCCTGGGAAGTAGGTATGTGAATGGGTGATTGGAAAGATGCTGGAATAGAAGTCTGTGCAGGCACAAGTTGCACCAGGTGCAGAAAGAAGAGTAGAAAATCTACCAAGACACATGAAGCCAAAAGAGGCAACATGGAGAAGTTTCAACTGGATCAAAAATGAGTTACTGTTGTCAAACAGGAGGGCCAAGGGAAGAGAAGCAGACATTTGTGCAGAAGGGGAAAAGGGCATACTGTACTTTTGAACTTTATGACTGAAGGCTGATAGGAAGTGGGACACAGTAAGGGAGAGTTCATGAAACAAACAGTGCTGAGTCCAAATCCCAAATGCCTTGTCCGACATCCTAAGGTTTTACTTTATCCTATGGAGCAGTGTTTCCAAAAAAATTGTTTTTAAATTTTTGTCCCATAGAGGTATGGAGGTTGATGCACAGAGGTATGAGAAAAATACATTAAAATGTCTATTTGTATATTTACAATTCCATTATTCTTAATTTATATTTAAAAAATTTTTTTGGCATATGTCATGGTAACTAATAAAGTATACCTACTGTGGGATGTATGCTCAACATTTTATCCTGATAGGGATACATGGTCAAAAAAATTTGAAAAATTTCAAAAAGTGTTAAGTAGACCTGATTTGCAAGTTGAAAGAATTACTCTGGCAGTAGTGAATAGTATATAGCCCTCTAGAGAGAGGTTTTTGTGTTTATACATGTGTTGTAGGTATGAGTACCTGATATAGGTAGGCTTTCCAATGAAGTGATGGCACTATTTCTAATAATAATACAGTCATTATCACCTTCATCTTCAGGAGATGATGAAAATATGAGCAAAGGCAGTAGTAATGGGGATAAAGAAGGATTGCCAGATATACTAGGAAAAACAGGGGTAGGAGAGAAAGAGTAGTCAAAGGTAATCTGCACTTCCAGCTTCTATGACTGGGTGGGTGGTGGTAGTACCTTTCACAAGACAGAGCATGCAGGAGGAGGCCCAAGTTGAAAGAATATGAGTTTAGTTTTCAATATGTTGTGTCTTGAGGTACCTTTGGGACATCTGGGAGGAGATATCCAGTAAGGCATTAAATATTAACTGTAAGGGACTGCATCTTAGGAAAAAGCAAAGACATAATAAGCGGGAATTTCATCAAGTAAGGTCACTGTTGGAGCAGTGAAAGATCACTCAGGAAGAGCATCTAGAGCAAGCTTGTTCATTTTTTAAAATACATATACAAGTATAATGTATATACAGAACTGCATATTTTGTAAGGATATGTCTTAAATATCAGTGAATTTTCACAAACAGAATATATCCTTGTAACTAGCACCCTGATCAAAAAAAGAACATTACCAGCATGCCAGACCTCCCCTTGAATAAAGCAGGAGTTCCTAACTGGGTATATCCATGGCTTCAGTCGTTCTCTGGACCTCTCTAAATTGTGTGCAAGATTCATATATGTGTGCTTTTTTTCCACCCTGGTGGAAAGGTCCGCTTTTATCAGAATCTTAAATGGATGTTCATATGCCAGAAAGGACAAACCCTTCCTTGTGGAGTGAAAAGAAAAGAAGTCTTAGAGCAGAACCTTACCGGACTATTTGAGACACAAATTGTAGCACACTACATAGTATTCTAGTCCTCACTGGTTTTGTTTTGCTTTTTCTAGCTTAGTGCATCTTAGAGAATATTTCTAAGATTTTTAGCTTTTAGTTATATAAGCAAATAAAGGATATTCATTACCTGGTCTTTGAAAGGTATTGACTATATATACTTCCACTTCTAGCAGTTACTGACACTTAGTGCAAATGTTAAAAACTGCTTTTTAAGAGCAGAGTTCCTTGACTAACCATTTACATTAGCAAATTTTAATAACTTCTGTTTATTTTTTGTAAGCCACTAAGTACTCTAAGTAGTAACTAGCTAGTTTCTATTTGGCTGTTTTTAAATATCCAAATTTTATCACCAGAAATTTATCACAGATTTATTCTATTTTTAAATTTCTAATTTGTATCTTATAAATTGCTTTTTTGTTTTAACAGATGAAGGTTATTCTTTCAGCAGTGTTCTGTATTATGGAAATGAAGCCACGCTTCTTATTTATGATCTGCTATTCTTCTCTGTTGTGGATTTGGTTAACCAAGATTTTCTTCTAGCAGCCTTCCTTACATACCTACAACAAGAGGTAAATTTAAAGGTTTTTTGGGGTTCATTTTAAAAGAAATATGTTTGAAGTAAATACTTATTTTTGTAGCAGACTGATTATGTCTACTTTGACTAGGAATGTATGAAGGTTTAGAATATGATTAATCTTACCCCTAAAAAAGAATAACATGTCAACCAACCTCATTTGATACTTTCCTTCAGGGTCAGTGAAATACTGGGGTCTCGTGGGGGACCCAAGTTTCTTGAGCAAATATGAAAGTAATCCAGTAGGAAGACATTTACATTGCCAATCTCCTAGAGGCCAGAAGTGAGCAGTAAAATTACAGTCCCATTCACCCTTTGCACCAAAAGTTAATGTAACAAAAAGGAAAGCACTGGAGATCTACCTCAGCTCAGCCACAAAAAACCCTCTTTAAGTTGTAACTCACACATTTCTTACCTGTGCAGATAAAAAAAATAACTGTATGGAAGAGTGTGGAACCTGAAATGGAGATTTCAAGAAAGATTTGTTCTGGAAATATTATTAATGTCACCCAAATATTCTCCCCACCATGTTGAGGAAGAATATAAGTTAGTAAGATATATTTTATTATTCCTTGATGAGAGATCCAGAATTACAAACAAATTGTATCCCTACCAGTTATTCTGATGTTGCCTTAGCTTTTAAAGCTAGAGGAAAGTTGCCTTGAAAATTATTTAAAAGTATATTCCTGTGAAATGAGATTTGTATTACTAATTCATAAAAAATATATTCTAAATAGACACACACACTGCTTTGATATTATAAAAATAGTGATAGTCTTGAAATAATTTTGTATGTCATCTTGGAGTTCATATGTCTGATTCATGAAAATAAATGGTTGAGAGAATTAAATTTAAATATTTTAATTGATGTGAATATTTTTCTTAACATATTGTTTTCATTCTGAATTGTTTTCATATTTTTTTACCAGATTTTTAGATTTATCCGTAATACAGTTGGACAGAAGAATTTAGCATCCAAAACATTGGTGGATCAGAGATTTCTGATTTAATTTGCTGAATAGATAACTAAGACTCAATATAATCATGGCAAAAAAAGGGTTATGATTATAGGTTAGTTTGCTATATTTTTATCAGCTTGTAGTACAACTTATTCTATTTTTATTTTTTAATATACAGAATGATTTATTTTTATTACTGATATATAACCTGCTTTGTGAATATATAGTGTGATTTAGTGGAAAATATTGTTTTCCCATTATATATGGTATTTAATTCACCAACTCATAAATTAGATAACACTGACAATGGGGCAAAAAAATCCAGATGTTGCTCTCAGCACAATATGTTCTCATAATCAAAACAGTCCCTATCATTTGTCTCTGTAGACTGTTTTACAAACTGGGATTTACCAACATTTTCTCACATTGACAGAATTACTTGATTCCAAGTTCAAGCCTACTTTTCAGTTCACTATTTTCTTGTTTTATATATTTTATGGTTAAATAAAAGTTGAAAACTATTTTCAAGTTTACTTAAAAATTTGAAGCAGTATATTGCTGACTCAGCCTACCTTAGTAATTACTCAGGCAGTGTACCAATTCACTGTTGGATTAGCAGGTGTCGCATGAACTATGCATTCTTTTGTGTATCTGTATTGTTAGATCAGTGTCCCATGATGTATGTGTATACATTTCAATTATCATTTTCATTTATTAAGCTATAATGAGTGACATTTTCCTTGATACAGTTTTTTATACATTTTAAGTTATTTAACATTTTAAGAGCATTCCCAAAGTTTTGTTCTTCAGTTATGTTTAAAGATTGTAAATAACAAACTACCATTTGCAACAACATGGATGGAGCTAGAGGGTATTATGCTCAGTGAAATAAGCCAGGCAGAGAAAGACAAGAACCAAATGATATCACCCATCTGTGGAGTGTAACAACAAAGCAAAAACTGAAGGAACAAAACAGCAGCAGATTCCCAGAACCCAAGAATGGACTAACAGTTACCAAAAGGGAAGGGACTGGGAAGGGTGGGTGGGGAGGGAGGGATAAGGGGATTAAGGGTCATTATGATTAGCACACATAATGTAGAGAGGGCACGGGAAAGGCAGTAGAGCACAGAGAAGACAAGTAGTGGACTCTATAGCATCTTACTATGCTGATAGGCAGTGGCTGTAATGGGGTATGTAGTGGGGACTTGATAATAGGGAGAATGTAGTAACCACAATGTTGCTCATGTGAAACCTGAGCATAGGATTGTATGTCAATGATACCTTAATTAAAAAAAAGAAAAAACAATAACAAACTAAATTTATCATGTTATGTCAATAGGTGATTTATTGAAAGCAAACTTAGACTTTCAAGTAGGCTTCTATTTTTTTTTAAATAAGGAAAAGAATATTAGGATCCAAAATATACTTAATGTAAATTCTGAGCCATGTAGCTAATAATTTTCCATGAGATGATTTTTTTTTCTTCAATATACTCTTTAGGTGAGCAAGGCAGAAGCTTTTATTTAGAGGTACAACAAGAGGACAGAGCTTGAGAGTCCCCTCTTCAATATACTCTTTAATAATCCTTTTCATTGTATACCATGTACTTGAAAGGTACTTATACTTCAAGTATAATAATCATTAACCCCCAAACTGATATTTCTTATTGTCTTCTATGTTAATGCTATATAATACTTAAATATAATGCTATGTAAATATTGTTTACATTTTTTTCTTGATTTTTTATTTTGTAAATATGTAGATTTTTTAATTGAAAATATAGAATAAGACATTTGGTGTTTCTGTTTCCTATTGGATTAATATCTATTTCATGAAATAGCACTTCGGAATGAATACATATAGCACCATTGAGGCAAGGTCTCCAAACACTACCAAAGTTGAATCTTTTCATTTTCCCTGAATCTTGAGGATTGACTGAAGAGAAAGAGGGAAAGCTAGTAAGTTGACTATTCGAAACTTCAGTTTCTGAAGGTTCATAGTACAGGAATGCCTTTATAAAAGCTGCAAAGACAAATAAATGTACCAACATGGATTTTTAAAACCACCTGCTCAGAAGCATGTGGAAGACATTTCAGCTCTCATTCTGCAAATGAGAAGTTAATACTAATGTGAATGTTTTAAAATGAAAATTTCGAAAAATGAGGTCAGTTAGCTCACCTAATAAATTAAAACAGAGAAAAGACATTAAAAGAATCATTCTACACTACTTTTGCATAATATTTTTTATTTTGGTTAGAGACATAAAAATGTATATTGATTTTCATACAGTGTTGACTCAATTTAATTTTATGCCACAATTTAAATTTTATGATCATGTACCTGATTTTCCACAAGATGTGTAAACTTTCTATTTCTGTAGCACCAATTCATTGTACTTTGCATCTTATAACCCTAATTTTACTGACTACCTAGAAATGTTTGACAAGTCTCATCATCATTTCATAATGAAACAAACTCTAGGTTTACCTAGATATTCTATATAAGTGCTGTGTCCTCCTTAGAAGTGCACAGATCTCTAAAATAATCCTGCAGATCATTCTCTATGTTATGAGCTGCTTATATTTACTTATTTGCCTGGCACTGCTGTCCTATTAAACTACCTTTTGAGAAGGCTCTTCTAGTTACATAGATTGAGAAGCATTCAAAAGTACCATTAATTCAGTGCTTGTAAGCATAAAAAAGTATCCTTTTTATGGTCTGTAAATACTGACAAAAGCTGAGGAGAAATAAAAGTACGTTAAGGAGCTGTGTGACTTAATGGAAAGTACTCCAGATTTAGTAACAGAAGCCCTGGATTTGAATTAAAATTTGCCCATCACCTACCAGCTTTGGAACCTTAAACCAAGTTATTTGGCATCTTTGAAATTTCATTCTGCATCTTTGCAATGGAATCAATACCCTTTGTTTACCACTTGTTGTAAAGATTAATTCATTAAGATAAGACTTATCACAATGAATAAACTGAACACTGGAATTTTTTTTTTTGAGGGAAATTGCTGTTTTATTTGTATTCATAAAACTTGGCTGTAATCAATTATGCCATATAGGATGTCATACAATACCACTGGTTAAAATAAAGGCTATTTTTCAAATGTAGTGAGTTTCTCAAATTTGTCATATTTTTCTCTTGTTTTTATTCAATGCACAATATGGCATTACATCAATGTTCTTTCAGCTGTAGCCTGGCATACATTTCTGATAGACCTTAACAGTACTCCAAAATTTACAAAACATTTATAGGGCCCCTTAGTTGTACACTTTATGGTAAAGTGGATTCGAGTTGGATGTGGCTAGGTAAAGCAATGAGCAGAGGAACAAGGTATAACATGGGAGCTCTGTATTAGTACACTTGGGTGTCAGCGTGGCCTAGGACAGAGGTCAGCACACTGTGGCCCAAGGGCCAACACTGCTTTTGTGTAGCCCACTAAAAATGGTTCTTACATTTTAAATGACTGAAATCAACAAAAGAATACTGTTTTTGTAGCAGGTGAAAAATAATGTAAAATCCAAATTTCAATGTCTATAAATAAAGGTTTAAAAGAACATAACCATACGGAACACTGGAATTTTTATAGTTTTTGGATTGAACTATCTGCTTCCAAATATATTTTGTATCTTGCTAATAAACTCCATGATACTGAAATTTTTGAGCCTTACTTCTACTTTAGCCACCCCAGCCTCATCAGAAAGAGGACTTGGAAGATGTCACAGCTGTTGGTGAAAAGAGGCAGGAAGTAGCCGTCATCACACCATGTCACAGACATGGGTCGTGGCACAGACAGAAGGGAGGTGGGGGGATGGTGCCTGTGGAAAGGAGAATCATTTGCTCTTTCGTCTACTCATTCCAACAATACTTCTGCCTCTTCCTACTCCCCAGCTCCTCAGAAGGATTTTACAATTAGTAAAGGAAACAGGTTTATTAACCAATAATTACAGCAATCTGAAAAATGCATCAGTCACCAGGGTGCACAGGGAAAACCCTCCACAGTGCATCTGTGGTCATCTGGGCTTCTATGTGAGAAAGTAGTATTTGATCTAAGATTTAAAGATAGGCAAGTGCAATCAAAGCAAAGAGCAGTATGTGCTCTGAGGTGAAGTACATGGCAGTTGGGTACTATAGGTAATTTGAATACAGAATACATGTGTTTATATTTTTTAGTTTTCTGCATATTATGATGTACTATTTTGACAGCTTAAAATTTTTTATGGCTAGGGGTATTCTAGTCATTTCTTAGAGATAGCAAAGAGCTGAGCCAGGAGCATACTTTTGATATGTAAACTAACCAATCCAAATACTACCTGTTCCATCTGGCCCCATATACACCAGGAGGCAATATTCCTCTGCCTTCATCATCCCAGGACCAGGCAGCAGAGAACGAGGACCACTCCAATAGCTTAGAGCCTGTCCTGAACTGTTTACCCCACCCTGCCTTGACTTTACTGTATAAGGGCATAAACTAATGAAGTCCATGGCCTAGGCTCTCCCTTTGCTCCTGTCCCTCTGCCTCCTGGCCAGCACTGGTACTGCCCCAAATGGTTCTGCATAGTGTAGGGTACCTGTGTGGCACAGCGTGCCTTCTGTTTCCAAGACCTGTGAGTAAAAATAAACTTTGTTTCCCTGAGCCTCTCCTGTATCTCCTCTTGTGGCCCCACCTGACTATCATGTAAAAGAACACAGAACAGTACGTTTGGGGTTCTTGGAGGGTTATGAGGTTAGCAAGAAAAACGAGCTATAGCATTAAAGGTTTTTATATTCTAGCCACAGTATATAGAGAATTTAGCCAAGCCAAGTTTACCAGCCTCTCCCTCAAATACCCCATACAGAGGCATGAAAAGCGGATTTTCCACAAATTACTCTGGAAAAATTGATAGTCTGTAGGCTAAGAGACTGGTGCTCCTCCCTCTGTTGCCTGATGCTTGTTACAGTTCACAAGAAAATACATTGCCTGTAAGAGAGGCAGGGAAGGGTAGTGGCTAAGAACACAGAATCTGGAGCCAGATTTGCTTTATTCAAGTCCTGGCCGCACCACTTAATTAGCTGGGTGATTCAGGGCAAGTCATGTACTTCGCTGTGACTAAATTTCATCATCTGTAAAAGGGAATACTACTACCCACCCCACAGAGTTACAGGGAAGATGAAATGTCTGTAGTGGTAGTCGTAGTAGTAAGTTCCACTGAAATTCAATTCTGAAGGACCCAGATGAGCCCATCTGGAACCTGTAGTAAGATGCTGTCCCATTTCTGGGAGTGCTAGAGGTAGCAGTACAGAAACTGCCCAAAAAAAATAGTCTGTGTATAATGTGGGGGTTGGGGCATGGGGAGGGCTGTGCAACACGGAGAAGACAAGTAGTAATTTTACAGCGTCTTACTACCCTGATGGACAGTGACTAATGGGGTATGTGGGGGGGACTTGGTGAAGGGGGGAGTCTAGTAAACATAATGTTTCTCATGTAATTGTAGATTAATGATACCAAAATTAAAAATTGCTTAAAAACAGTCTGTGGGCTTTAAAGAATAACTTTGCCTCTATTTTAATCATTACAAAGAAAAATACAGTGGGTGTGGCCCAAGGATAAACAAATGACCACTGGAATGGAATATGGACACAGACCCATAGGTGTACAGTCACTTCATTTATGACAAGGGTGATACATGGTGCAGTCAGGGAAGGGTAGCTTTTCGATGTCAAGTGACTATCATAATGAAAAAAAATATCTTTATACCTATGTCACACTTTATCAAAAATAAAGTTCAGGAAGATGGTAGATTTAAATGTGATAACTGATAATGCTTCTAGAAGATAATAGAATATATTCATGACTTTGGTGTAGGTCAAGCTATCTTAAGACCCAAAAAAGCAACCTTAAAGGAAAGTATTGGTAAGCTGGACTTTCCAATTTACACTAAGTTTACTCAAACGTATATTTACATCTGATGTAAATGTAATTTTGCAATTTATATTGAAATTATAATTATAACCTTGCTTATCAAGTGGTAACATTGTGAGAATGAAAAAGCAAACCTCAAGATGAGAAAAAATATTTTAAAACATATCTAACAAAGCACTTCCATTCAGAATAAAATCATCAAACCACTAAGGAAAAGACAACTCAATGGAAAAAAATAGTCAAAAGACTGAAGTATGCATCTCTCAAGAGGATTTCCAAATGACCAATAAATACATATGAACTACAAAACCACCAATATGGCTAAAATTAAAAATCTTAAAACAGCAAGTGTTAGTGAGGATATGAAGCAAGTCATACTACATTTATTATATAAAGTGAGAGAATCCGTAGCTTTCCAAGGGACTACTTTGTATTTTACAGACAGGAAGATGAAATCGCGTGTGTTTGAGCCACAGCAGATGGCAGTGGAGCACACGCCGAGGTCTCTGCACGGCGCTCCTCAGGCAGGTGCACTCACAGACCTGCAGGGAGGACGCCACAGCCCCTCTTCCCTTGTTTCACCCAGTCACTGCTCCTCACTTCTCTAGTTCCTCCCCTAACTGCACCAGAGCATTAGGCAGCTCAGATGATAAAGTGTACTATTTGTACAGCTGAGGCTTTTCTGCTCAGGTTTGGGAATTGAGTGCTAAAAATAAAAATATACTTCCATCCATCTCCTAGGGAGAGATCACAAAACAGGTCATACCTCACCAAAAAATAAGAACTGATCAATGATTATGGAATCCTGCTCCCCCCATTTTAATGAATTACACATTTATGTTAGAATCTTTTTAAAAAATCAAACCACTTTTCAGAGTATGTAAAGTCTCTTTAACAAGTACAATCTCCCCAAATGAGACTCTCTGTGACATTCTCCTGATACAACATGATGGACATTGCATCATAATGTAAAATACAGCATATATATTGTGTGGTAAATACTATATGCTTTATGTTTTAATGCGGCAACTTTAAACTTTCACCAAAGGCAATGTAGTTTCAAAGACTGTGAAGTCCACTCTCTTCTCTTAGATTCTCTTAAAGTTTGTTATATTGTAAGAGTGGGACCGCCATTTTGTAGATAAAATGAGAGTCCCTGTGGCCAGGATTCTCACCTGGCCCTGGTTGACTAGCTCACTGCACACCTGTGGGCAATACATGGCTGTTGACTCTATATAAAGAGCTCCGCCCAGTACTCTGGGCACGAAGTGGTGGCACAGCTGCAAGGCTGCAGGAGAGCAGAGCAGAGGCTGGAGTGGTGGCAGCGCTGAGGACAGAGGCCCAGAGGACGGCCATGTGGGACAACTGTGCAGAGAGGCCCACAGGATGGCTGTGCAGACAGAGGGGCCCAGAAGCAGAGACCGGCTTGCGGCATGCAGACTCGCTCTGAGTGAATGGGATTCTAGTGACTGACCTGCTACCTGGAAATAAAGTTGGGTATAACCCTTTCACCCCAAGAACGTTTTGCTGTCAATTTCTTTGGTCACATTGAATCCATAGCGAACTTGCCTGGGGCTGAAACCCATTGGCAAAACACCCATATTGCACAAGATTATAGAATGAGATGTTTATTGCATGTGTAAGTGTGTATACACATGTTTCCCCCTATTTTTTTATTTATGTAACATTTGTACTTTTTAAATACTATTATACCATATATCAATAATAACTTAATTTAAAAAAATTTTTAATACTATTATACCATTACTTTTCTAGTTTATATCTCATATTTATCCTTTTACTTGATGGAAGCAGAAAAGGAGAAAAACAATCACACAAAGTGCTCACCTGACTGACAGAGTTACGGACAAGCCAATGCCAGGGTCTGGTCTCTTCCAGCCTCATTACCTGTAACTTGTACTCATTTCTTTTCCTGTGGGTGAGAATGGTGGAGTTTACATATAATGGCTGAAATTGTTTTGAACTGCTGCTTCTCCAAACACCTTCCTAATTACTACTTGAACTTATAAACAACTTTGTTATATAATCTTCTGATTATAAGTCCATTTTTTGTTTTGACAAACAAGATTTTTTCAGAAAGGTTTACGTGTTTCCCACCCATGATCACTTTGAGCACTTGGGCACAGCTGTGTAATAGAAGAGGAGGCTCCTGGATAGCCGCTGGCACCACTTATGAATCCTCATCAT